AAAGCCTTGCTTTGACTCATTCATGCATGTTTGAGAAATCCTGCAGCGTTTTTAGGAAGCCATGCTGAGGAGCAAAACGACAGGTGGGGACCAGAAACGTCTTTTCGTACCAGAAATGCCCCTGGGACGTGTCTTTAAGCCGAGCTTCCTCGTGGCGGAGCACCCTCCTCCCCACACACCCCGCCCATGACTCCTGCAGGCTCTCGGGTCAAATTGAAAGTGAAACTTAAACTGTCTGCTGAGCTCTCAACACTATAGTTCTCACTCAGTGAAGCTCTTTTCAGATTAAAAATACCTTTGAGGAAAYGTATTTTCAGATGGCAAGTGAAATGCAACGTGGCGACCCCCTCCCCCAGCTCAAACCCCCAGCCTCAGGATTATGAGATGAGACAATGACACAACCCTAGATTTTTGTTTATATTGATTTGAGGTTCATTTCTTTTAGGGTTTTATCGCCTCATTGAGTTCTTCGTGTGCCACAGTTCTACTCCTCACCTGTTCTTTATCGTCATCAAAGTGTCTCCGCTCTGCTCTTCAGCACCTGCCCTTATAATATTTTGTTTGTGTTTATTTACAATAATTACAGGGAGGTCCGGAGGGAGAGGGTAAGTAAGTTGTTCAGGGAGGATTTGGGCCAGGTGAGGTTATTTCATACAGGTTTGGAGAAGGCCAGCAGCATGGAGAGGAGGGTGAGAGGTCATACGTTTAGGTGCAGGTGAGCACAGAGCAAATATGGTAGTGTAAAAATAACACTGTTGGTGTCAGTTTGACATAGATAATCTACCTTGACACTGTTTAGTCTTAAATCAACAACAGTAGTGTTAATTTAACAGGGCCATATTTGCTGTGCAGGCAGACAGGTAAGTASAGGTTTCCAGGTCTGTCCAGGACACAAAGGTAAGGTTGTTTTCAGGAGGCAGAGCGTTGCTCGAAGGCCACAAGACGAAGTACAAGTCAAMTATTTAAGGTTAACCACAGGGCACTTCTACAGTCTTACCACAGGTGAGTAATATCCCAGCAAAGAAGAGATCCTCCCAACAGCCTCTTAAAGGCCTGGAGCTCATCAGGAGGATTTGCTGTAACTGCTGCTGCCATCAGGGCACTGCAGGAGAAAATGCCAGAATCCTTCACTTTGCTTAAATGTCTCCTCCATATTCTCCTTGAGTAATTGTTGCCATGTCAGACTGTTGCTTTGGTTTATTAAATATGTTTAAGTTTTGTTTTATTCAAGATAGGACAAGACTGCAGATACAAGCGGTTGAAATGAGTTTTCTCCAAAGGGTTGCTGGACTCCCTCATAGGGCGAGAAGCTCGGTCATCTGGGTCCCTCCCAGATATATGGATGGATGGATGGATGGATGGATGGATGGATGGATGGATGGATGGATAGGAAACATAACATACATTGTAAAAAAACATCCTGTGAGTAATAGAAGTAAACGGAGCAGTTTAATCAGTTCAGTGTGATTTTTAACTTTTTTTCCTGAGTAAAAATGTTTACGTAACTTCAGTGAAAGCACCAAAAAGCCACTTTCAGAATAAAATGCCTTTTCCCTCCCCACAACTCTGGAAAAAGCTTTTTACTGTTGACGCTGAGCAAACTAGCGGCGTGTTGTGTGACTTTGTCTCTTTGCATAAATATTTAACAAAGTGCAGAAGACACAAGAAGAGGGAGGAGATTTATAAAAAGTGTCTGGAGTTAATAATGGATGAGGCGAAATTCGTGATRGAGGCATGTTTACTGACACGGCATCCACCGGATTAGTCTCAGTGCTGTCACAGTAATTGCCAAATGTAAGGGCTTCTTCACATGAAATAGGTCAACCAGGTAAATCCGAGTGAAAGCTATCAGTGCATTATGCTGACATCGGTCCCCGCACATCCAGATGTATCCCTGCCTGAACCCGGTTGTTACACTTGAATGTTTACATGCAAAAATTAGGTCAGCGAGTCTCAACCGAGGAGTGTTTTTTTTTTCATCATCAATCTGGAGAACAGATTTATATTCAGTGATGTTCCCACCAAAACTCACCATGTGTTTTAAGCAATTGTTTCTTTAGAAACATTCTTCTTCTTACTTTGGCATCAATGATGATGTTTATTAGGTTTACCAGATGGATGGTAGTTACTATAACAGAGTTTGGATATGGAGTTAAACAGCCATCAGTCAGGAACCCTGATTTGTTTTAGCGAACAAGCAGTGGTTAAGTGACAACTATTTGCAACTGAACTCAGATAAGATTGAAACTCTGATTATTGTACCAGGAAAAATAAGTATCTTCAGGTTAAACAGTTTATTGGTGTTTYGGGTCTTTTTGCTCAATCAAGCCTCAGGAGCGTGGGTGTCATTTTTTGTTTAAAGTAAAACGTGCAAGAACTGACTGAAACAGCCACTTCTCTCTTCTCAAAATGTAAAAATGGCTTGTCAGAAATTAAACTTGAAATGATGGTTCATGCTTTTGTTTATCCTCATTTGTACGACTGTAACAGCTTATTCACATATTAAGAAGAAAGAGCTGGACCGTGTTAAGGTTGTCCAGAACTCAAGCTTCTGGACAACGAGCTCACATCACGCCTGTTTTAGCTTCTCTTCACTGGCTCCCAGTTCATGTTATAATTCATTTCAAGAGACTAGTTTTAACTTTTCTAGCTTTGCATGAACAAGCTACAACTCCATTCATCACCTTGCAGGCTGAGGTCTTCAGGTCAGATGGTGTTTGCTGCTACCTTGAACACATTTTAAATGTTGTGGTGGTCAGTCATTCCAAACAGCTGCACACTGTGGAAGGTACTTTTCCAATGGGAAAATTGTCCTCACGTTGTAGAAAATCCCGTATACACACACACACACACACACACACACACACACACACAATCTAACTATCATACTGACCACATCTGGGAGCTCCTTGCACTTTCCTTGACCTTTGGTTTGACTTTGAGAAGCCAGTCGTCCTCGGGGACAGCCGGCCTTGGCATGTTGTAAAGTGGATGGTCAAACAGTGCCTTCAGTTTTAGCG